TATTTAATCAGGTCTCAAAGTTGTGCTCACACACTACTAGACAATCAGAGCAGAGAAGCCCTTAGGATGCACTCTGAGACCTCTGAACTTTCTTTCATTGAACCCAATTATTAGTTTTGACTTATTTTCGTTATGCTTAACTTTAATTGTCAACTTGGCACGAATACCAATGTGTGACATTACTGTTGCCCTCCATAAACATCCTAAATCTAGAATCACCTGGAAGAGATGCTCAGAGGATTATCTACATTGGACTAACCTGTGATTATCTATGGGAGAGAAGGATTATCTACACTGAACTAGCCTATGTCTATCTGTGAGAGATTTGTCTTAAGTTATTGCTGTGGACAGACCCAGCCCACTGTGGGTGACACCAATCCCTAGGCAGGTTTCTGTGAGGTAAGAAATGGAGCTGAGTACAACAAGTGAGCACGTAAGTGAGCATGCATTAACCACACTCTGCTCCTGACTGTGTGATGTAACTGAGCTCCTTCCTGCCAGGTCTTCCTCACAGAGCTGGGCTGTGACCTGGAATTGTGAACTGTTGGAAATTCTTTCTCGCTTTCTGACAGGATATTTTATCATAGCAATGTTGGACCCTAGAGTCCAATCACTGAGGAGGAGTTGCCCCAAGAGACCATCTCTCACACCACAGCTGATGTAAAAGCATGAGAATTTTATTAATTCTGTCATGACAGGGTCTTTCAGCATTCAGGAGGCTAGAAAGACTCAGAATGGCTGGTACAGGCTATTTTAAAAAGTCACAGAAGGAATGGGGTGTCTGGGGGTTGTTCTTTAACTATTACGATTGGCTTATTCAAAAGGGCTATTTACCAATAATTGGCTGGAGAGTGGTTGCTAGATCAGATGAGGTAAGGGGGAAACATCTGAGGGTCATTTTGTCCCTTTCCCAGGACCTAAGTCAAAACATCAGTAACTGAGTCAACACCTAAGGGTTATCTTGCCCCTGTTCAATAACTGAGTTCTATTTGGAGACCATTCACAAGGACTCAGGGAGATGATGGAACGTTCCCAACATCTCAGTACGTGTGTGGGCAATTGTTAGGTCCTTGGTTCCCAGGGGGGAAAAGGGGAGCATTACTGCTGAGACTGAGAGGGCTCAGAATTGTCATAAATGGCGTCAGAATTGTCTTAAAGTTTTACAGCAACAGAAGCAAAATTAAAACATTTGGTTAGCACCCTTTTTTGAGTGAGAACTCCAGGAGTGACCATCCCAGAAAGGTCTAGATTTAATGAGCTTTTGATGTAGCTCCACCCTGTATCTCTAAACTGCATATTTATGCATCCGATCAGTCACAGACAGGAAAGAATGGCAGCTGTACTACTGGTCATGAACAGACTTTTTCTTGTCAAAATCTTCTCACAGACAATGCACTACAGCAAATGGTTATGCAACATGTGAATTGTGTTAGGTATTGCAGTCAAAACTGTGCAGCAGGACAACTGACACTCTGTGCAAAGACTATGCCATTTCAAGTTAACACTTTTGTCCTGTGACAGAACCCAGGGCTTTGCATGTGCACAGCAAGCCATGGTCTGTGTTTCCAGCCCACTGTGCCACTTTATATAATGAATTTGAGTATCTGCATATTATGGGAGTGATGGGGGAGGGGGAAATGGAGCCATCCCCATGGATAACAAGGGATGGCTACATATAAATTGAAAGATTAAATGCCGAAAGAGATGTCAATGGCCTGGCTCTGGCAGATGAGATGAGATTGGGATATGCAGAAGAAAAGTGATGCTTAATCTCATCATCACCAGCCTCATGTCAGAGACCAGAGAGGGCTGCCTATATCCTTATGGGCAAAGTAAGAAAGAGATGGATCTGCTCAAGAGAAAGAAGAGAGGAAGAGGCACGGGAGAGGGAGGGAAAGGAAGGGTCAGAACAGGGGAAGAAAAAAGGAGAGAGGGAGAGAGTGAGGAGGGAGATCAAGCTAAGAAAGAAAGGCTTGGAGAATCATTGTGATAGTAACACGGGAGGAAACCATTGCTCTGCTCATGAACGACCACAAGTGAACTGTAAATCCAACCTGTGGAAAATGTACAAAGACCCACCGCCACAAACGCCAGCATGAGACCTTAGCTGTTGTCCACCATGCACGTATTAAATCTAGACTTCACAGGGTAAGAGTTCTGGTGCTGATGAAGTGTATACACAGTTGTTGCGAGGTTTCTCCTATGTAAGTACGAGGGAAGGACGGCAACGGAACAGAGGGGAATAAATAGAAAATGTAACATTTCAAAGGTCGTGCTGGCCTCCTGCCTTAACTCCCAAAGGTGGCTGCTTGTGTTAAGAGATTTGGTTTCTTTCTGGAACTTTCCATGCCATCCTCTGAAAATAAATACTATTGATATTTTTGACAAGTAGGGCCATCCATGCTATCCATTTTTGCTTCACAATTTATTCTTCCTTCAGTAGATATTAGATATTGGTCCTTTTCCACATTAACATTTTAATAGTTCTCTGTAGTCTGCTTACTAGGGATGCATAATTTTTCTCAAGTACTCTCCTGTGGTTGGACAATTAAGAAAACTGCTCAAGAAATAATCACAGTTCACATATTGAGATGATCAATAGACTTCTTCATGCACGAGCTCCTCAGAAGAACATAAGGCAGGGATTTTGCCTGCTTTGTTCCCTGATAAGACCCTAGCACCTGACACATTGTATGTTCAATTAACATTCTTTGAAAGAGTAAATCCTAATGCATTTAAACATCTATATGGCTATTGTGTGTGCACATGTGTGGATTCACACATGTATTCATGTGTATGTACTATGTGCACACATGTGTGGAGACCAGAGGCTAACCTTGAAGGTCAATTCTCAGTAACTGTCACCCTGGTTGTTTATTCTAATTACATGCATTTATTTGTGAAGGGTGCAAGCCGTAGCGCACATGTGGGGGGAGGTGGGTCAGTGCACACGTGGGGGTCAGAGGGGAACTTTCAGGAGCCAATTCTCTGCTTCCAGCATGTGCACTCCTGAGACTTCATGACAAACATCTTTTCCTACTTTGTGCTGAAGACAGGCTGCCTCACCAGCCTGGATGACAAGCCCTGGTACTAACCTGTCACTGTCTCCCATCAGTGGGTTCTGCAGTTCTTTCCATGGGTTCTAGGCACATACAGGTACCTGTTCTTTCACAGTAAGCACCTTCTGTACTAGCTATAGCTATAACCCAGTCGCTATACATATGCTTGAACTTTCAATAAATCTTGACCTTCTAAACAATTGTTTGCTTTTCTATTGCTTCCTTATATATTGCTTCCTTATATATTTTTATCTATAGGGTTTTTAAAAGTTTTTTTATTTATTATGTATACAGTATTCTACCTGCATGTATGCCTACACACCAGAAGAGGGCACTAGATCTCATTACAGATGGTTGTGAGCCATCATATGGTTGCTGGGAATTGAACCCAGGTCCTCTGAAAGAGCTTCCATGCGCTTAACCTCTAAGCCATCTCTCCAGCACCCTATCTGTGGTGTTTGTTGGTTTGTTTTGATAAAGCTGGGAACTTCATCTTCAAAGTTCAGTGAAGTCAAATTAAGAAACGCTTGTTCATTCATTTCCCATTATCGTTGTGACAAATTCCAGAGCTTAAAATAACACAAATCCGTGCCTTCCAACTCTGGGCACCAGATGTGCAAAGTGGGTTTTGAGAGGCGGCTGTAATATTTCTTGAGGTGCCAGGGGAGACGCCGTGTGTTCTCCAGCTTCTACAGGCTGTGTTCCCAGCTCTTCATGCTTCACTCTGACCTCATTTCCCCTTACATCTTCTTTGAAGCTACCTCTCCCGCCTTTAAACACCTTTATCATTATATTGGGCACACCTGGATAATCCAGCATCATTTCTCCATCTAAAGTGTTTAGCTTAATCACCTCTACAAAGTACCCTTCACCATGAAAAATAACATAAAAGGTTCTGGGAATTTAATGCAGGCAGGCATCTTTTGGGTTGCATTATTCTGCCTGCCACAGTGTGGGAAGAATTGGGTGTAAATACCGGTGTTGTCACCCATGCACCTACCTACCTCTGAATGTGTGTTTGATCCCTACTTACTGTATCCCAAACAAAAGCTAAGAAATACATCACCTGGCTCTGTAGCCTTGCCTGGTTATATAACCTACTTGTAGAACTACAGGCATTACTGCATGGCTCGCGGAGACACTGCAAGTAAAGCATCTCTGCAGGCATCGCTTTCCACTTCAGGAGAATTCGGAAATTATTATATGCTGTTTTCACTGTGACTAAACTTAAGGAAAACACTGGGGGAAGCAGAGGAGGAAGAGAAACAGGTCCTCTTATAGGCTGCTGATGTCAAGGGAAACTGGTAGATATTTTGGAAGGCAATGTAATGGAGGTAATGAAAACTCAGATAAATGTTTCCCTTTTATCTCACTAATCATCCACTTCCAGAACTGTACCTCGAGGGTTCGGTTGAGCCTCTCTACAAAGCAGCCAGTGAAATGGTATGTAAAACGCTGGCAGAGAGGAGCGCGAGCAGACTAAACGTCCTCAAATAATAATGAGATAACCAACATATGCACCCACGCTACAGAAAACTCAGCCACATAAAAGAACTTTAAAATATCACTACATCAGAGATTTGCGAAATATTAGGGACACATTCGGGGGTCTACCACTGAGCTATACCCCAGAACTGTTTATACTTTGTGTTGGAGGGTCCCCATCTGTAACTCGGACTGACCTTGAATTTGCTTCAGCATGTGGAATAGCTGGGATTGTAGCCTGTGCCACCTGTATAAACCAAACCTCGAGTTTCAAATCCGGGTTATTTATTATTTCATATCGATAAAATGTGGGGGAGGGGGTATCGTATGAATTCCATAACGTTGACCGAGGTTATTCCTGTATAATGGAAGTGTAGCATCGTGGCTTCACTTGTATTTCTTATGGGCTAGCATTAAAGGGAAGTGGAGGATGATGGGAGAGAACAGGTCTCTTACCTAGTATTTCTTGGCAGTTACAAACACGACCCAAGATGTCCCTCTAGTGGAAGGCAGAACGCGACCGCAGTTGGCACCTGATTGTGACTTTGTGAAACAGTATATTGTATTCAAGACTTTTGCAAATAAGAAGTAGAAATTCATATAGTATTTTGCTTATTTAAAATTTTTGAAGGGGATAATTAGAAAACAGAGACTAAACCGTACGCTGGGTAAGCGGTGCTGATTCTCGGTGCGCTTAGAATATTAACAGCTAACATTCTGAACTGTCGATATTGGAGGGTTACGCCTTCTCCTCTGTTTGCATTTTGTAGGTCTAGAGAACCAAATTCCGAAGTCACGCGGTTACCGCCTGAATCGAACATCTTTCCGCGCGCTAATGCCTTCAACAGCTTTCGCCGGCTCTCGGCTAAATTCGTCTACCTCCGGCATATTTATCCCTGTCTTGACTCTTCTTCGGCTACAATCGGTTGACTCTCCTCTTGGATTCGGCTCCCTTCGGCTATGTCCGGCCCCTTCTCGTCTCAGACTCCTCTGTTGCTGTTAACTTCCTCCCGCGATCCTCCAGCCGCGGTGTTTAGCCCTTGCGTTCTGCCAGCACTCGGCTAGGCTCGGCTCAGTTCGGCTCTTTCCGTTCTCGTCCGGCTACAACCCCGGAAGGACGCCAATGGAGCAGTGCCTGCTGGCCGTAGGCAAAGCAATGGCGCCGCTGCTGGAGTACGAGAGGCAGCTGGTACTGGAACTGCTCGACAGCGACGGGTTGGTGGTGTGCGCCCGCGGGCTTGGCGCCGACCGACTTCTCTACCATTTCCTGCGATTGCACTGCCACCCGGCCTGCCTGGTGCTGGTGCTCAACACGCAGCCTGCCGAGGAGGTGGGACTGAGAGATGGGTGTACTCGAGGGCGTAGGGACATCCGACCCGAGACCGGCGCGGCGCGAACGCGAAGCTGTGTGGTTGCAGGGGCCCCGAGCCAGCGCAGGTCTCAAACGGGATATGAAAGGGAATGAATTGAGATCCCTGGGGAGAGATTCAGAGCGTCTACATAGTTCTAGGGCGCTGCGAAGGAGGGAAGAGAACCAACCCCCAGGGAAGTCCAAGTAGCTGTCAGGACTTGGGAGGGCGTTGAGTACAGGTCCTCGAAGGAGATCCAGGGCTCTGTCATTGCAGGAGGACCCTGCGAAGGAGGGCAGCGCGAATCTTGACTTCCTCTCTTGACCAGGAGGGCACTGAATGGTGCTGTTCCGGAGAGATACAGAGCCTACAGCTTGAGTACACTAAAAGTACGGCTCCCACACACTCTCTGACAGTGAAAAAGAGGCGACTAGGGTACACTTTAGGGGAGTGGGGTGGATTACTCTACAAAGGAGGGAAGCTGTAGGAATAATGTTGAGCCTGGAAGTTAAGTATTAAGGGTGTTTCTGGTGATTGCTGAGTGGGGTTCCTAAAAAGGTAATGATGGGGATAGGGATGGCAAGGTCTCTGAGAGTAGTAGAAGATGGAAAAGGAGACCTTTAAGGATGCACAAAAGAAGAGGGACTAGGGACATAAGGCCAGGAAGGAAGGGACTGGAAGCTAAGGCTATTAGGAGAGGTCAATCCGAGTTAAGGAGACTAGGTGACCCTGAGGACAGTGGAGTGGGAAATGTTGAGAGATGGGAACACAGCCTAGCATGATAAATCTGGTGATCCTCTTGATGGTGTGGCCAGGAAGAAAATGTCATCTGAGAAAAGGCTCTATGGGACTCCCCTGGGTATCGCCTTTTCTTGACATGAGACTTCATACAATGTAAGATGCCCAGGAAAATGTCATTGAACCAAGAGACCATCAGCCATGGGACCTTTGGACATTCTGACATTTCTCTAGGATGTATCAATACTGCTGTACTAGTGATACAGCACCAGTAGTGTAAAGCATTGGCTGCAGAAAGGAATCCCTTACCTCACAGAATATGTTGGCTGAAAACCTGGCTTTGATGGGAAGTAGTTTCTAGGTAGTGGAAACCTTTTAACCCAAAGTTTTAAAAGGTTCTGTTTGGGGGTTTGGTGTTGAATGCAAATAACGACTGAAGCGCAATTATGTCTTAGTGCAAACTCCAAAGCACAACTAAACAAGAACCTTAATTAAAGTAACGCAATTGGCTGATGGGTATAAAGAAATAACTTAGTTTGTATATTTGCTGTGATATTTAAGAATCTGAGAGTGGAGACATTTTAAATCTCTGCAACCTATTTCAAAAGTGCCCGGCCCTGTATTAAACAACTTCCTAATGAATATACTCTGATTTAGGAATATTTTATCAACCAGTTGAAGATAGAAGGAGTTGAACACCTCCCTCGACGTGTGACAAATGAAATCACAAGTAACAGTCGCTATGAAGTGTACACACAAGGTGGTATTATATTCGCAACAAGTCGAATACTTGTGGTTGATTTCTTGACTGATAGGATACCTTCAGACTTAATAACTGGTAAGAATTTGAAATCTTCCTTATATACAATGTGAGCATTTTTATTTGTGTCTATCTTCTCTGCTAAATGCTACACTGGCTCTTATTATCCAGCATTGTTGTCAAACTGCTGGCATAATACCCAATACGTTGTAGATGCTCAGCAAATGTTTCTGACATAAGTGTGGCTACATGTCACTAATGGCCACAGGTTCTCAGGCTGTATGATTTAACTATTGTATGAAAACCTTAGAGCTACATACAGAAACCTGCGTGGATGGGCTAGAGGGGGGAGCAGAGGTTAAGGTTGCATCCTCCCCTTGTAAAAGACAGCTGCTCAGCTCCCAGCAGCCTTGCCAGTGGCTCACAGCTGACCCATAACTCCAGCTCCAGGGGAATCTGATACCTTCTTTGGCCCTCCAAGAGCACTACACTCAACATGCACAAACATATGCATAATTTTTAAAATAAAAATAAATTTTTAAAAATCCTAAATGCCAAAACTCAATTAGATGTTGACCTCTTGATGCAACCAAGAGACACAGTAAACACAAGCTGTTTGGACCTGATGCCGCCATTAGCACAAAACACTGTTTACAGTTGATTTGTTTTTATAAGAAGAGGACCTCCAAAATAAGGAAGAAAAGCGCAGTATAGTAAATTAGCCAGACAGTCATTTGCTGCATTACTGAGTATTATGCATGCAGCACATAATTGCACATGCTGTATATGACTGGTGGCGCAATGGTGTATTTGTTATAACTATTTGTATGTTTATGATGTTTTGCCTGCACCGCATACATGTCTGGTATCTGCAGAGGTCAGAAGAGATCATTAGAATCCTGGAACTGGAGTTATAGGTGGTTGTGAGCCACCATGTGGGTTCTGGGAATCAAACCTGGATCCTCTGAAAGAATACTTGCTCTTAACCACTGAGCCCTCCCTCCCCAGCCACAGCCTTGTGTCAGCATACAAACCTTCGAAGGTCGTGATCTGACAGAGGTGTACCTACTGTAGCATGGGTACTTTTCAGCTCTGTTTTAGCTTTTACGTCCGTTGCTAGTTGAAGCATCATTGTTCAATGTGTGACTTTGTGTAAGATGTGGCCCACTGTTTCCGAATCTTACTTTTACTAATAGCACTAGAGGGGACTATAAGACAGGAGGAGACAGGTTTCAGGCTCAGTCTCATTCTAGGAATTCTTCGAGGCAGGATCACCATTTTTGGACTGAGGTAGATGTAAGAGCCAGTGGCTGACTCCTTTGCTTTTCTGGTCTTCAGCTTAAACCCCAATATCTTTCTCTGGGTTTTTATTAATCATGCTACATTGTAGTTGGCAGGCATTTGCCTTTTGGGCATAGCCAGACTTGGTGTGTTTATCAATATTCTTCATAAATCTCTAAATGAATTTGTTGCCCTTCTTTATCCTATGATTTAAATTAACCTAGTTAGTTAACTAGTTAGTTAACATAGTTACCTAACACTTAGAGTGGGAGATTTTAGCTAGGAGTAGTATAGAAGCAATCAATTACATTATCATTTATTTCTTCAGAAACGACTGCTTTCCCTGAAGCCAATAATCTAAGAGCCCTGTCACTCTGCCATTAAACTGCCCCGGGCTTCCCTACCCAGAGCACACAGGCTCACCTGTAAGATCAACTTTGCACCAGGAAACTCTTGCTCGTCCTGGCCTGGGGAGCGGTGCAGGTTGCTCACACACTTGCCCCCTGCTGCTGCCCTGCATGCACACTGCTCTCCGCTGAGTGTAGGAGGCAGGAAGCTCAGATTCATGAGCACACTTCCCAATGTGCCCACCTTTTTTCCAGACTTTAGAAGCACCTTAAGGGACTTGTGACAGTAAGTGAAGGGCTTGGTGAGGTTCCTAGGGCTGAGGAAGGAGTCTTGTCATTCCTTTCTAGCGTTTTTATTGTCTCAGACAGTGACTTGAGCCTCTTGGCCAGACATACCTGACTTACAAACACCAGCACCTCCTTACAAACAAGGTCCTTCGCTTTCCTGAATTTCACTTGCTCATTTCTTTTTTTAATTTTTTTTATTGAAAATAGATTCTTCTCTCATATAAGACATCCCAAATCCAACCATAGTTTCCTCTCCCTCCACTCCTTCCAGCTCCCCACCTCCCCTCTTCCCCAGACACCCTCCCCCTCCATTTCCTCTTTAGAAAAGAGCAGGCCTCCAAGAAGTTAACAGACAAGCACAACCAAACAAGATACGATAGGACAAGGCAAAGCCCTCATATCGACACTGGACCAGGCTACCTGAGAGGGGGAAAGAGTCAGAGACACGCCTGCCCCACTGTTAGGAGTCCCACAAGAACACCAAGATACCAGCCGTAATAATTACATAGAGGACCTTATACAGACCCATGCTGGCCCCATGTTGGCCACTTCAGTTCTGTGACCACATGTGAGCCCTGCTTAACTCTGTGGGCCATGTTCTCCTGGTGTCCTCCATCCCTCTGGCCCCTATAGTCTTTCCTCCCTCTCTCCATGGGGTTCCCCAATCTCTGAGGCCTGGGACCCAATGAGACCTCCAATTTAGACTCTTCTCTCCCCATAATGTCTGGCTGTGGGTTTCTGCTCCTGCTCCCCTCTGCTGCCAGAGGAGCCTCTCTGATGCTGACTGTGAGTATAGCAGAATATCATTAGGAATCATTTCATTAATTTTTTTAAGATCATTCCTGTTTGGTTCTACTGCAGTTCTCTGGACCACACAGTCTCTAGACTCCGGCCATCTCAGTCCCCAGACTCCGGGCTATCTCAGTCCCCAGACTCCAGGCCATCTCAGTCCCCAGACTCCGGGCCATCTCAGTCCCCAGACTCCAGGCTATCTCAGTCTCCAGACTCCAGCCATCTCAGTCCCCAGACTCCGGCCATCTTAGTCCTTAGACTTCGGCCTATCTCAGTCCCCAGACTCCGGCCATCTCAGTCCCCAGACTCTGGCCATCTCAGTCC